CAGAAACTCTGTTCTAAAGCAGGAGAATGTGCTGTATTTTTACTTTCTCTCTTTTGATTTCATTTTCAGTGCTCATGAAAGAGAGTTGCCAATAGAAACTGTCTCTCCAAGACTGGACAAATAAAGCACAGGAGCCACTAACACACTCCTTGCTGTCCTTCTCCATCTGCCAGGAGGGATCTGGTGTGACAGAGGTGAGTTCCTTCTCCGTGGAGAACAGGACAGCAGAACTTTGTGGAGGTGACATAGCAGCAATAACACTGCAGACCCATCATTTCATAGGAAAAGAGAGTAAGGATGAGTATGGATGCATAGAGACAGTTTGGGAACTCTAATTTAGCAGATTCAGGATCCCTGTGGATTTTCCTCCCCACAGTGCAGTCTGTGTCATGTTCTGCCTAATGGTTATGTATTGCTCTGCTAAGACCATAAGATTGAATTTTCCAGGTTCTGTTCACAAACGTGCTGAGAAAGGAATGGTATTTACCTAATTTTATAAGGAGATGGATAAATGGAGGTATAAGCAGGGAGGAATAGGTGTGCTCGGGGGTTGCAGAAGGACTTTGAACATTTGCGGAGTAATGACTCCATGAACATCCACAGATCAGAGCAGCCTGGCTCTTCCTAGAAATGTTGTAGGAGAGAACATCAGGTGTTCCCACAACTTCGCTGGCACAGGGAGTGCCTGCTGTGTAGCTGAGGAAAGCTGGGAATGCAACCTGAGATTTGACAATGTGCTTAAGCAGCAATTTAGTTTCACAGCCCTGTTCCATGGGAGAAGGGAGTGCAGTGTTCACATCTGTCATGCCCCAGAAGTCAATCAGGTTGGCATTTGGGAAGAGACTCTGGTAATTATGGTTCTTCTGATTCCTAAGAGCTCTTCCTGCTTTTTTCTCCGTGTGTAATTAGCTCTATCAGGCAGCACCACTGTGCTATAACATCAACAAGAGTTTTCAGTGTGGGGCTCGAACAGTTTAAAGAACTAAATAGTACTTGGGAATGAGAGGGATGAGTTGGCTGGAAAGCTCAGCAGCTAACCTGTTTCTTCTCCTCCCACATTTCTTCTTGGAAATGATGGAAAGCAGCAGCCTGTTTCCCCAGGGCTGCTTCTTGCCCTTAAATATAACACTGAAGTCTGTCTTGGTAAAACCACGGGTAGGGTTTTTACTTAGCCTTTCTTCATAAGTCCTAATGACAACATGTTACAACCTCAGGCTCTGTGGAGTTGATGAGGAATAAAGTCTCAATAATGAAGAAGAGTCCAAGAGTGTGTCTAAAGTGCTCACTTTAGCACCAGCACATATTTCATACTGACAGTCAATACTTTTAACTGATCCCAAGCCATGTGTGGTGCATTTTAAATCCTTCCCCAGCCTGCTCTGCTCTTTCCCATGTGGTGTTTCCAAGTGAGCGACAGAGTCACTTTGTCAGCTTCAGGTTTCTCAGCATACAGATATCTTTAATTCACAACCCACATTTTTAGGTCAGGAGGATAAAGTTTGTTCTGTGTCAAAGAAGGGAAGGAGCAGAGGAGCCACTGGAAGGATTAGGTGGCAGAACAGCTGCAGAGGATCATGTGTGGAGCGATGGATTTAGCTTTTCAATGACCCAAGTTGCCATTTTAGGGAGTCCATTTTGCCATTTCGTTTCTGTTTAAGGCTTATAAATAGGCAAAGCAGCTACAAAGGACCAGGATTTAGATGCAGTCTCAGCTGATAACCTTTGGGACTGCCTTTACTGCCTGTGGGGCTTCAGTTTTCTTTGTCTAGTCCAAAAGAGAATGTCCATGTGTCTCACTATTTCTTGGCCACGTTTATGATCCCTTGTTTTCATGTTGTCTCAATACTCTGCAAGGTTTGACCGCACTTATCCCAAGTAAAAAACATCAGAGCTTGTTTTCCCCACGTGTGCCTTGAAGTTAAGCTGATTTTTAGATGTGCTGATGTTCCAGTGAGGGTGTGCTTTGGCATTTCCCTCAGGAAAAGGATTAATAGGGCAGCTCATCTCCTGGCCAGCTGTTTGCAGAAAACTGGTGGCAGTTCCAGGATCTTTGCAGCCCCTGTGAGACCAGGTTGAAATAGCTGGAACTGCCTGACTGGCACACACACACACACAGCTTGAGCTTCTTTTCCTACAGAGAGCTTAAAAATGGGGAAAAATTTAAGAATATCAGACTTTAAAAGCTTCTTTTATTAGTAGTATTATTTATTTTTTTTCCTTCAGTTGCCTGGTCTGTGCAGTGGTGCCTGCTGAAACCCTGCTGCTGTGTGGGATCCGAGGCTGGAGCCTCCCCCATCTGCCTGCAGCAACGTGCTGCCAAGGTTCAAGAAAGCTGATTTAGCCTTTTGCTGACTTTTTAGCCCCTTTATCCTCCTGGCTTTCAACAGTTTACACCAGTGCTGTTTGCCAACGTTAGGAATTTAAAACCTGCCTTAGTTTTAAGTGCCCATTCTGCTGTGCAACTCAGTTGTGGGTCGTGGGGAGGGGAAAATCCCATTTAATCATGGGGCGTTAAGTACTGACAGCAAATGGTCATGTAACAATAGGCCTAGGGATTATGCTTTATTACTCTACATATTTCCCCTTTCATGATGATTTTTCCTGGAGAAAATCAAATTTTCCATTCATTTTTCCTGACACGCGCTTGTGTCCTACGCTGAAAATTCCTCCTGACTTCTCTCTGCTCTTTTAAGGTGAATTTTCTTGCTTTGGCCCGTTTCCAGATGTGTATTTCAGCTGAGATTCGCTTCCTCACCTTCTTTCTGCTAGTTCTTGATGAGTAGATGAGAGGAGCATTAAACAGATCTAGTGAAAAATGACCACCACCACCACAGATTACTTTCCTCTAATTAAAAATTGAAGCGGAAATGAATAAGCTTCTCTTGAGGCTGTGCAGGAGCTGAGGCTAAGCCCAGCACTATATTCATCAGTGAAGTGGAAAGTCCTGTGTGTGAAGGAATATCCCAGAAACTTTAGTACCTTGGAGGATGCTAATAAAAGGGAAGGGAGAGAGGTTCTAGTGGCAGCATATTGATGTGGCCTAGATTTAAATCTGTTGGCATAGACCCAGGACTCGTAAAATCATAAATGGTTTGGGTTGGAAGGACCTTAAAGCTCATCTTGTTCTGCTCCCTGTGCCATGGGTAGGGACACTTTCCACTAGACCAGGTTGCTCCAAGCCTCATCCAACCTGGCCTGGAACACTTTCAGGGATGGAGCAGCCACAACGTCTATGAGCTAGTGCTTCACTACCCTCACAGGAAAGAACTTCTCCCTAATATCTAATCTAAACCTACTCTCCTTCAGCTTATGGCCATTCCCACTTTGTGCCCTTTTAAAATGTCCCTCTCCAGGGATTTTTGCCATATCCTTGTTTTTTTTAAAAATGCCTATGCATTTAACAAGTTTTTCAAGGAAAAAGGTACATCTAAGCAAGCCGATACCACTTGGGTGATACAATACTGAGTGGATCCTAACTTCAGCATCTTTGCTTTAATGCACAGCATAGACTTGTTCAGTGTTGACCAGGAATTCTCTCATACTCAGCCAGTGAAGTTAATCATAACCAACACAAGTAGGTTCCCTTTAAACTTTCTCATGCAATGAATCAAAATTTTCCAGCAGGAAATGAAAGCAAAACACTTCATCTAAAAATTCCTCATCAGCTCCAGTCACTAGAGCAGAACAATGGTGATTACACTCAGTTATGCAGTACAAATTCCCAGCACTGCTGTGTCCCAGGATCACACCGAGGCCGGCAGGGAGAGCAGGTGTATGTTAATGTCTCTGTTCTGTACGTGAGGAGACAGGTCCTTGCAGATGTTAAACAGCTTCTCCTGAGTTACACAGCAAGACAATGGCAGAAATAGGAATCCAGGTCCAGGGCTCTGATGTTTGTGGTTTGGCCACTGAAGCATGAAACCCTAATGAAGAGCAGAGTGCCTGGAGTAAGCCGTGTGTCCTCATCTAATGAATCCCATCACCTTCTCAGGTGTGCTGGTATTAACCCCAGAGGTATTGATCATGTATGAAGGTTGCTCTTTTGAGAGAGGACAGTTGCTTTTAAATCTAGCAATGCCTTCAGAATCACAGAATCACCGAGATCGGAAAAGACCTTGAGGTCATCAAGTCCAACCTATGGCCTAACATCACCATGTCAGCTAGAACATAGCACTAAGTTCCACGTCCAGTCTCTCCTTAAACACCTCCAGGGATGGTGACTCCACCATCTCCCTGGATAGTCCATTGCAATGTCTAATCACCCTTTCTATGCAGAAACTCTTCCTAATGTTTAACCTAAACCTCCCCTAGTGCAGCTGGAGGCTATGTCCTCTAGTCCTGTCACTTGTTGCCTGGGAGAAAAGACCAACTCCCACCTGGCTCCATCCTCCTGTCAGGAAGTTGTGGAGAGTGCTAAGGTCACCGCTAAGCCTCCCGTTCTCTAGGCTGAGCCTCCTCAGTTGCCTCAGCCTCTCCTAAGGGGTTGTTTTGTTTGCATTGTCTGACTGTGTGATTGTTCTCTTACAGGAATGGCAGAGCTCCATCCTTGCAGCAGCGATGAGAGAGACTGACATTCCTGCGAGTCTCTTCTGGGTCCTCCACAATGGCTGGTGCCTCTGCATATTCATTGGATGGTAATGCAGGATGTCGAGAGCAGCAGTAGAGTTTGGCTCAATCCCATTGTGCTTTTCTTCTGCCGGTGGAGACTTTGAATCACCATGACAACACTGTGACACTTGCAGCAAAGGTTGCCCACAGACCAAGGGTGGGTTGGGGTGGGTGAGGAGGTCAGTGATTGAGTCCAACGGGATCAAGAGTTGTGCCTGCAGCAGAACAAGTGTGGAAGAGCCGTCAGCACAGCAAGAAGATGAAATTCCCCTTCCATTGGCTTCTGGTTAAGCAGGCACAATAACATTTTTTTCCAAGAGACTCGCTATAAAAACTCTTCTGGTTATGGCTACTGATCCAACGTGATTGGGTGCGCAGCGACTTTGGAACTCATGACTGGATATACGATGTTGCGGAATGGGGGAGTGGGGAATGGAGGCCAGCCGTGGGTGTTGAGATGGTCCAGTCGGATCCGGCTCACCTGGCTTAGTTTCACCCTCTTTGTTATCCTTGTCTTCTTTCCCCTCATTGCCCACTACTACCTAACCACCATCGACGATGCGGACGATGCCGGCAAGCGCATCTTTGGCCCTCGGACCGGCAACGAGCTGTGTGAGGTGAAGCATGTGCAGGACCTGTGCCGCATCCGTGAGTCGGTCAGTGAGGAGCTGCTCCAGCTCGAGGCCAAGCGGCAGGAGCTCAACAGTGAGATCGCCAAGCTCAACCTGAAGATCGAGGCCTGCAAAAAGAGCATTGAGAATGCCAAGCAGGACCTGCTGCAGTTGAAGAACGTCATCAGCCAGACTGAGCATTCCTACAAAGAGCTGATGGCTCAGAACCAACCCAAGCTCTCCTTGCCCATCCGGCTGTTGCCTGACAAGGACGACGCGACCTTCCCCCTGCCAAAATCCAACCGGAACTGCAGGCTACACAACTGCTTCGACTACTCACGCTGCCCGTTGACATCTGGCTTTCCAGTCTATGTCTACAACAGCGATGATTTCCCTTTTGGTAGTTCCTTAGACCCTTTAATCAAACAAGCCTTTGAGGCGACTGTCAGAACTAATGTTTATGTTACTGAAAATGCAAATATTGCTTGTGTGTATATAATTTTAGTGGGGGAAATGCAAGAGCCTGTAATGCCAAAACCTACTGAACTAGAGCAACAGTTGCACTCTTTGCCATATTGGAGGACTGATGGACATAACCATCTCATCATCAATTTATCGAGGAAATCGGAGACTCAGAACTTCATTTACAACATCAGCACAGGGCGCGCCATGGTTGCCCAGTCCACTTTTTACGATGTGCAGTATCGACCAGGGTTTGATATTGTGGTGTCGCCTCTGGTCCACGCTATGTCCGAACCCAATTTCCTAGAAATCCCACCCCAGGTGCCGGTCAAGCGTAAATACCTGTTTAGTTTCCAGGGGGAAAAGATCGAGTCTCTCAGATCCAGCTTGCAGGAGGTTCGCTCTTTCGAGGAGGAAATCGAAGGCAATGCCCCAGCTGACTACGACGATCGCATCATCACCACCTTGAAGGCTGTTCAGGACAGCAAGTTGGACTTTGTTTTGGTGGAGTTCACATGTAAGAACCAGCCTAAGGCGAGTCTGCCCACTGAGTGGGCTCTGTGTGGAGAAAGGGATGACAGACTAGAGCTACTGAAGCTATCTACTTTTGCACTGATAATCACCCCCGGGGACACCCATTTAGTGATCTCCGCTGGGTGTACCATGAGACTGTTTGAGGCTCTGGAAGTCGGAGCCATCCCGGTGGTTCTTGGAGAGCAAGTTCAGCTACCCTACAACGATGTGATCCGGTGGAACGAGGCAGCCTTAATTATACCAAAGCCACGTATCACAGAAGTGCACTTTCTTCTGAGAAGCATTTCTGACAACGATCTCCTTGCCATGAGGAGGCAGGGCCGCTTCTTGTGGGAGACCTATTTCTCCACCTCTGACAACGTCTTCAGCACAGTCTTAGCTATCATAAGGACTCGAATCCAAATCCCGGCTGCTCCTATCCGAGAAGAACCTGCAGTGGAGATTCCCCACCGGTCTGGCAAAGCTGCTGGTACTGACCCCAATATGGCAGACAACGGTGACCTGGACCTGGGGCCTGTGGAAACAGAACCACCCTATGCATCTCCCAAATATCTCCGCAATTTCACCCTCACTGCAATGGATATCTACAGGAATTGGAATTCCGCTCCGGGGCCTTTCCACCTCTTCCCCTACACTCCCTTTGACCCCGTTTTACCATCAGAAGCAAAATTTTTGGGGTCTGGGACTGGATTTCGACCAATTGGTGGAGGAGCAGGTGGCTCTGGGAAGGAGTTCCAGGCTGCTTTGGGTGGCAACGTCCCCCGGGAGCAGTTCACGGTGGTGATGTTGACTTATGAGCGGGAGGAAGTGTTGATGAACTCCCTAGAAAGGCTCAATGGTCTCCCGTACTTAAATAAAGTTGTGGTAGTGTGGAACTCTCCCAAACTTCCCTCCGAGGATCTTTTGTGGCCAGACATCGGCGTCCCAATCATGGTAAGAAAGATGTAGCTACTGTGGTCTTGCTTCATGGTGGGGTTTGTGTGTTGAAGTTGGCTGTAGCTCTTCTGTGTCAGCTCAGCTTCAGTCATCTGGGATGGTTGGAGATGTCTGGATGCTTTATCAGCGGAGAAAACCAAGAGGTGCCAGGTTTTAGCATTCATGGAACAGGAATTGCTTGTGTGGAGCCTGATTTGAATCTCAAGGCTTAAAGCTAGAGATTCTTGGTTATTGGGAATCTTTCCTGAGGCTCTTTAAGTATCACACTGTGAGGACAGTTGACACCTTATAAATACCTAAGTAGTAACTGTTTCTGCACTTTACCAGATGAATTTTTTATTAAAACAAAAAGGGACCCACTGTGCCTACTGCAAGGGCCTCAAAACTCAAACCACTTTATATTACAAGGGATGGCAGAGAAGGAATTCCAAGCCAAGGCCAACGTGACCTTAAGAGCTTCCATGTTCCAAGGGTTGTAACTGAGTTTTGCATAGGTTCAGGTTAATTGTTTTCCTCATCCAAACTGAAGAAGTAACACCTTAAATAAACAATACTCATTTTCACACCCAGCTGCTCACTCATACATTGACTTGTAAGGAGTTCATTCTTCCTAAATTATTAGTTGTGTATTTATTTTAGGACTTCTCTGCCATCCCAACATAACTTTCTGCACTGGCCATTATTAACAATCAATATTGAATAGAAATCTCCACGTGCCCTCGTAAGGGAGCACAGGCACAGAGCCACTGCAAGAACTAACACTGTGTGGTCTGAATCTGGTCGTGTTTAGAGGACAAATGGAAGGATAATGCCTTACAAATTAGAGAAGGGAAAAATAAAAGAGAGAGATGGTGTTTAAGAACACAAACTGCGTGTGGTTTATGTGACAGGACACTGCTGAGCTTAATAGCACTGTGAGCTTTATGCTGCATGCAAAGAGATTCATTGATTTAATATTTCCTTTATTATTATTGTGATGAATAAATCCTTCTGCTCACATTTAAAAACCCTTATGGTTTGGGGACAATGAGGAGAGAAAATTGCTTGGATAATTGCAAAATAATCTTTCACATTAGTCCTGTTGAATGTCTGAATTCTACAAAATCTTTGCATTGTGTCTTCCAAAAAACTGCATCGTCCTTCGGAACAGGAATTGTTCTCTTTGGAGTTGCTAATGGGAGTTATTTGTGAAAGAAAAATATGTTTCTGTTGATGGAAGATAATGGCTTTTTGTACCTTGCTGTTATCTGCACATCTATTGTGTTGGAGTCCCACTGGCTTTTTGAGTACTTGACACACGAGTTTCTGTGTGTTACCTTTGAGCCACACGCTGGAGTCTGTGTTCCGTGGGGGATGTGCTGTAGGGAATGTTTGCTACCATGTGGTTCCAGAGGAGGAAATTGTCTTGAATCTGCTTTCACAGAATCACAGAATCTGTCAGGTTGGGAAAGACCTCTGAGATCATCCAGCCCAACCTATGGCCTAATACCACCATGTCAATGAGATCATGGCATTAAGTGCCCTGTCCAGTCTCTCCTTAAACACCTCCAGGGATGGGGACTCCACCACCTCCCTGGGCAGTGCATTCCAGTGTCTAAGCACACTTTCTGTGAAGAAATTGTTCCTAATGTCTAACCTAAACCTCCCCTAGTGCACTGTGAGGCTATGTCCTCTCATGCTGTCCCTTGTACCTGGGAGAAGAGGCCAATCCCCACCTGGCTACAACCTCCTGTCAGAGAATTATAGAGAGTGCTAAGGTCACCCCTGAGCCTCCTCTTCCCCAGGCTAAACAACCCCAGTTTCCTCAGCCTTTCCTCATTGGACTTGTGCTCCAGACCCTTCTCCAGCTCTGTTCCCTTTTCTGGACACACTCTAGCACCTCAGTGTCCTTCTTGCAGTGAGGGGTCCAGAACTGGACACAGCACTCAAGGTATGACCTCACCAGTCCTGAGTACAAAGAGACAATCACTTCCCTGGTCCTGCTGGGCACACTGTTTCTGATACATGCCAGGATGCTGTTGGCATACTGTGGCATTGGCACGCTGCTGGATCATGTTCAGCCCCTGTTGACCAGAACCCCCAGGTCCTTTTACTTTGGGGTGCTGAATGGTAACACTGTGCTCATGCCCAAGTGGATTCACCATCCCTGGAGGTTTTCAAGACAAGACTGGATGTGGCACTTAGTGCTATGGTCTAGTGACCACGGTGGGGTGGACTCGATGGGCTTTGAGGTCTCTTCCAACCCGGATGATTCTATGATTCTGTGATTCTAAGTGCCAGGGAATGGGTGGAGCACAGGGAGCTTCTTCCAGGATCCTTCTTGAAAGAGCCTGTTGGTGCGATCATAGTTCTGCTTTCTTCCCATTTTTCTAAATCCCAATTTTTAAAAGAGCCCAAGTCTCCTGGGATCTCTCACAGGAGGGTTAACCCTGTGCAGCCTCCAGGCATCCATCCCACCGACGTGCTTGTTGCTGAGTCCAGCTCCAGACTGGATTTTAATCACATTGGGAGTCTGTTGTATTCATCTACATGGATGGTTTAATGTGGCAATCGTGGAAAACTTACCTGGGCTTCATCAGACAGCATCAGACATTTTAAGAGCCAGTGGAAAAGGGCAACAAGAACTTGGGGAGCAGAGATGAGGCTCTGTTTGAGCCTTGGCAGCTGAGACATGGGATGTGCTGGCCAGGGGGAGAGGCAGGTGGGGATGTGAGGCTGGCAGGAAACACAAGGCTGTACGTGCTGCTGTCAAGGGAAACTGCAGAGCTGTGAATCTGATTTCCTTATGGGGGAAAAAGTGTCTTTTGATGGGGAATATCCAATTCTCTCAGATCTGGAAGCAGTGCTGTATCTCTGAGTAACAAATGTGTTTCCAGTAACATTGGGATGCAAGGACTTGCCCTGTGTTCAGATCCCAAAGCACAGAGCTATGCAGGGAAAACATGGAGAGAGGAGGATTGGATGAGGGTGTCCCTCTTGTGATTGATGTGGGTCCAGGCAACCTCTGACTCTGAGGAGCAGCACAACAGCAGAACATGTGTGCCAGCATGATCCATGATCAAAGCACCTGAAGCCAGAAGTTTGTTGAAGAAAGGATGTGGAGCTGCTGGAGTGAGTCCAGAGGAGGCCATGGAGATACTGGAAAGTCCTTTTCCTTAGCCTCAGAGGGATTCCCTTGGCAGAGGAATTCTTTGCTTGTATTCCAGCTCCAGTGTGGCCCCTGCAGCCCTCAGAGTCCTGAGCTGAGCCAAACCTTCTTTATCTGAGACACTGCATAGTCTGTGTGTGGAGCAGCAGGACCAGGGGGATGGTCTCGAGCTGAGGGAGGGTGGATTTACATTAGATATTAGGAAGGAATTGTTCCCTGTGAGGATGCTGAGGCACTGGAATGGATTTCCCAGAGCAGCTGTGGCTGTTCCATCCCTGGGAGTGTTCCAGGCCAGGCTGGATGGGGCTGGGAGCAGCCTGGGCTGGTGGAAGGTGTCCCTGCTCATGGTAGGGGGTGAGATGGGATGATGTGCCAAGTCCCTTCCCACCCCAACCATTTTACCATTGTATGTAAGTCACAGCCTAATGAGCCAAAGCAATGTGTGTAGCATGTCATGGGCTGAAAGACCCTTTGGAAGCATATAGAGTCCTAAGTCCCACCTAGGGGCTGCTGGTGGCAAGAGCTCCAGCAGTTCCTTGGTGGGACTTAGGACTACACTTGATCTGTGTGGCTCTGTACTGGCAGAATTCCCCACAGGAGAGCTCTTCCTTCAGCCCTGCTGCCTGGGTTGACCTTAGTTCATTGATCAGTTCCTTGAAAACTGTTTTGCAAAGTGTACTGCTTGGTTGTGATTTGGTCCTCCAGCTTATGTGGTTTCTTTTCCCTGGTGGGCTGGGAATTAATCAAGAATAAAGCTCAAAGCTGCATTGCATCTTTCATGGATAATGAGATAAACAAGGCTACAGAATAGATTTGGGTTTTTAACACTTTTACTTAAATCTAGATTTCTTGTGATGTCATAATTGACTGAAAAATCAGTAAGTTTCCTATGCTGTGCAGGAGTCTGATAAAATATTCCGGCCCTGTACCCAGCCTGAAGTGACTAGGTGTAAATATAACTTAATGTGAAGTTGTGTGTAGTCATTCAGGGCTGCCCTGGAACAGATGTAGGTACATTATCCTCACATTTAAAGTGCCTTTGTGCCGAAGTTGAGCTGTAAAAATTGTTCCCATCTCACATTAAACAGTAGCACAGCAAAAAACAAAGGTTGTAAATGAGAAGGTTTGTTTGTACAAGCTTAGAAACTTGCTTTTCCCAAGTGCTTTTTCTCCAGCACTGCCTTGGGAGAACTTCCCAAGACACATGCACCTGGAGAGTGTGACTGTTCCAGCACCAACAGTCACATCACAACCACTGCTGAACTTCTTTCTTTGTTGCCTAGAGCAGCTGTGGCTGCCCCATACCTGGAAGTGTTCCAGGCCAGGTTGGATGGGGCTTGGAGCAACCTGGGCTAGTGAAAGGTCCCTGCCCGTGGCAGGGGGTTGGAACTGGATGAGTTGTAAGGTCCCTTCCAACTCAAAACATTGTTATGATTCTGAGCTCCATCCTGCAGGATTTATACAGTGTTGATGCATCCTTCAAGCTGTCCGGGACATCTGGCAAAGTCACAGCATACTCAATGAATTAACATTCTGGATGACCAATCCCTGTCAGCAGTTGAGCTCCATTCCCTTGTAGCAGAGTTAGGAGTCTTCCTGTCCACCACATTGCTGTGGATGCTGAGGTCCATGGAATGGTGCTGCTCACACCTCACCAGCAAGTGCTGCTGCTATTCCATGCTTACAGGCCAGAAAAGAGGAAAGGAATTTGGATTAAATCCTGCTCTGAACAGGTGGGAAGACTGCAGTAGGGTTTGAGTGAGTTCAGCTGTTCTCCTGCACTGCCCTTGCACACACATTAATCCTGGAAAGGTCTCTGGCAGCAAAGTAATGAAGGAGTCAGTCATCA